AAATCTGAAGCAAACAAGGCAATGTTGAGAAGTTAGTACTTACGTCTCAGTACCTGAATTTCTCTGTAGCTGTTCTTATATTGCCAGCTTGTCACTTGTGTGTTTGACCATCTAGCTCCCTTGTGGCTTCTGACTCTTTTGCTCCCTGTGAACATCCTCTTACCAGGTGCTTTAAGATTTCTACACTGCATCTGTTCCTTGGGTTGTTCTGTTTTCCCTTCTGCTGCTTCACTGGAGCTGCATAAGGGAAGAATATAAATTAATAAAATTTTCATACACAAGGTTCACTTTGATTTTAGTGTAAAAAAATCCTGTTATCTCCCTGTGAGGAAACTTGGATAGCCATTAGTAAATATCATATCTCTTTATTTTAGGGAAGGCCTGTGGATTTTCCTCCCTCAAAATTAAAGGCAGGTTATGGAGAGCAAGTGTGCTATGTTCTTGATTGCTTAGCTGAAGAAGCCTTGAAACACACTGGCTTTAGGTGGAAAAGGTACACTACATTTCTAAGCGCCCTCCCTTATGCATTGTTTTACAGCAAACAGATGTAAGTTGTAATGATAAAGACAAAATATGGGAATGACTTAAAAGGTTTTATTTGATGTTTCATGAGATGCAAAATTCAACTAGGCTTGCAGCAATGGGACCAATTAATTCCTAATGCAATTTCACACAACTGAGTCTATTACCAGCAAGGCTGAGTTTGGACCATTAATACACTTAGCTAATTAAGATTTAACTGATGACCTTTTTTTGGTCATTTCCCTATACATAACTGCTTGTTAATCTGACAGCTGAGTTACAACATTTAATGACCTTTTAGGTTCTATCAACCAATAACTAAATTCTTGACCTCTTCAGCTGGAGATATGCACAGTATGATCATGTTACCAGTAGACTACAGAGATTTTATTTAATCTGAAGGAGAAATTAGATGACAAATAATGTCAAGTGTATGAAAACTTCTACAAAAGAGTTCTTTATTTCATCCCTTCCCTCTGATGGGTTTTGAAATGGATATAGCAAAGTAATTTCTACCTTAGAAATATTCTACTGTTATTTTTGTTTAATACACAAATTCCACTGTAGGCTGAAAATAGGTCTGTGGAGACTTGCACTTGAATTTGAATAGGTTAGACCAAATGAGACAAGAGATCAAAATCCACTCCCCAGATGTCTTTGTAGTATGAATGTACCTATTGTACTGCTTGGCAGAGTAACTAACCCTTACTTTTAACTCAGTCCTAGATAAAGAAAGATTGTAAGGCCAAGTGTTAATTTTGTTTGTTTCGTATGTAATGCACTAATCACTGTCTAGTTATATTCCACATCATCCATACATCTCATGAAATGTGTTGTTTGCTTAGGAGCAATTTATAGAGGTATTTGCAATTTACTGTGTTTAAAAGCTCTGCTGTTCTTTGAATTAATTTCAGGCCAATATATCCAACAGAAGAGCTAGAAGAAGAAGAAATAACAGAAGATGATGCAGAATTAACACTTAATAAACTGGAAGAGGATGTTGCGGTAGGTTTGTCTGATTGCTTTTGATTCCATTAACATTGGTCAACTGTGAGGAAATTTTTATTCACTGCTCGTTTTCATAGAGTCATCCAGGTTGGAAGAGACTTTTAAGATGATTAGGTTCAACTGTCCACCTAGCACTACCACTGCAACCCCTAAGCCACCAAACCATATCACCATTACTCTGGGGTGGATTCCATCAGGGCCCACAGACTTGAGTGTCTAATTGGCATAGCAGGTCACTAACCATCTCCTTCTGGATTAAGGGGGTTCCACTAATCTTCCCATCACCAACTTCCAGCTCTGGGGGCTGGGCATCCTTAGGGCAACTGGTCTTGATATTAAAGGCAGAAGCAAAGAAGGCATTAAGTACATACCTCTGCTTTTCCTTGTTCCCTGTTACTACACTACCTTGTGCATTTATCATCTGATAGACACCCTCCTTGATCCTCCTTTTGCTGCTGATATATTTATAAAAACATTTTTTGTTGTCCTTAACTGTAGTGGCCAAATCAAGTTCTGCTTGGGCTTTGGCCCTCCTAATCTCCCTACATGACCTCTTAACATCCTTATAGTCCTCCTAAGTTGCCTGACCCTTTTTCCAGAGACAGTAAATTCTTTTTCCCTATGTTCTAGCCTAAGTTCTCTATTTAACCAGACTGGTTTGGATTTGTTTAAGAAATCTTTTCTATTAGCTGTTCAATCACCCTTTTTCTTGCAGCTCCATTCCTACATCATCAGATTCTCTCTATAGAGTTTTTCTTGCTTTTCAGAGAAGGTTGTTAACTCTTCAGGACAGACTATATGTTCTTATGTGCAGTGGAATCTTACCACTTTTATCTTTAATGTATATTGAAATCACGGAGATTCAGAACTGTTTGTTTTCTGCTGATACAAGCTCTACATCCTAAATGAAACTTCAATCCCAGTTTACAGAATCGGCTAATATTTGATTAAAATTTGCTCAGTGCTTAATTAATAGAGTGTTCACTATTATAACATAGATTTCACTGCAAATAGGAAACAGTAACTTCTGTATTTGGTTGGTCTGAAGATTTGGAAACAGTAGACAGAAAAGAACAACTAGAAACAGAATGTTTAAAAACACCAACAAAGACCTAACTAAAGGTTGAGAATTGTTGCTGATTTTAGGACTCAGTGATGGATGGATGCTGAATAGAAGTAGTTTCTTGCTGACTGACTTACTCAGAAGGTTTTTTTTTAATGAGAGAAGGAGTCATGTGAACTGGTAGCATAATGTGACAGAAGACATTGTCATTTTCACAGGCATGTCTGTCTCCTCCAAGTGAGTCTTTTGCTCCTGACTTAAGATTTTTCTGGAGAGGGAAGGTAGCTGAATACAAAGTGAAAATTACAAAATTAAGTTCATTTCACATCTGATTTCTTCAAAAATGAATGATTCTGTGCAAAAGAAACCTTGATCAAAACCAAAATACTGACAGCTGTGAGCCTGGAAGTGGTCACTTGTGGTGTCAGTAAATTATTTGAGGAAAAAAGAATTTTCTGGAGTGCTAAGGCCAAGCAATCTTGGATAGAAAGTCATAAAAGTTGGAAGTAGAGTGCCAGTAATGTTATCATATGTGTCTGATTATAATTCCAATTTATATGCCACAGTGGTGCACAATAATCTAACAGCTGAGTTTACTTCTCTTCACTATTTTCTTAAGTATTGTGTTTTTATTTTTATTAGCCAAGAAAAATACCAAACTTCTATTCTTAAATTTCATACAATATGCAGATATTGTGACGTGGATGTCTTGTTGCATTTTCATCAGCTTTCAAATCTCCACCGAAAAATGTCTTGAATAATTTTGAAAATAATAAGAGACATTCTGCATTGCATGTTTGACCAGCCTCAAATATGTAAGCTGTTGGCTAAAAGATTTAAATAGGAAAACAGTCAGCTGTCTGCTATTTTATGTATCTTGTTACAGTCTAAGCTGCTTAAATTGGCAAGTGAGGATGAAACAGTTAACTAAACAGTTGAAACCCTTCAAAGAACCAATATATATATATAGTCCATTTAGAAAAGATAGTCCTACTCTAGTAAAAATTAGCTTCTTGCAAGTATTCAGGGGAGTAGGGGTGAAACATGCCTGAAGAAAATAGTGCTCCCAGTTAGTTAAAAACTGGGTAAAGTATAGGAATGAGCTCCAAGGTTTTCACTAAGTGAGGCTTGAAGGGTTCTTCACTAAGACCTGTGTGACTGCAGCTTTTGTGATTTGTCTAGAAAGGAGGTGGATGATGAAATTTCACTTTGGTGAAAAAGACAGTTAACAGAAGGATAAAGTGTATAAGGGTGAAGTATATGGGTGCTAAAATGGCAGGAGAAATACAGTATAGATAAATAGAGGGTAATGTAGAAAAAGCATGTTTGGCTTTACTTATGGGTGATGGGCTCTGAGCTGATCATAGTCACTAAATAATGCAATTTTGAGATGGTAATAGAGAATTCTATAAAAGTGTCAGCCCAGTGTGTGGTCTTATGGACAAGAAAACAAATCATTTGCCTCAATTTCAATTCTGCCATTGTGCACACTTAAAATGTGGCATCATTCTGCAACTCCATATATGTAGTGCAAGCAACATCTTGAAATGTTCAGGTCTGGTTGTGGCTCGGTTTTATTTTTAAAGCAAAGCTTTAAGAAACATGTAAAAAGTTGCAATTACCATGCAATTATTGATAATGGCCTATCTAATGCTAGAGGTTTAGGGGGTTTATTTGCTTTGTTGGTTTAGTTTTTAAATACTGTGTCACTCTGAAGGAAATGTGGGGTAGCTTTCATCCTTCAGCCCATCCCAGGTATTGTGTCTCTTCATAAGATTTCAATTAAATACAAACTCTCATTGTCTTGTTCAGAAGTATGGAATTTAATACTCCTTGTTCTGTGCTCCTGTGAAATAAAATTATGGAGAAAGACTGTGCAATACTTAATGAAGTCTTACTTTGCAACTTTCCTCCAGGAAGAAGAGTCAGACAATGAAGAAAATGATATTGACCTGAATGTCCTAAAGGCACAAACGTACAGATCAGTAAGTTGTTACCCATCAGTCCTCTATTGAGAGATTTTTACATCTGTAACAGCAATTTATTTCTGTTGGATTTAAGTCTGAAAATCCCTCTATAGTCTGAACTTGAAAAAGCCATTCCAACTGCAATGAATCATCTTATTTTAAAAGAACAATGTGCAGCCAGTTTTTAAACTGGTACCACTGAAGGGCTGCTGGAAACATTTGCAAGAAATATTTTGCAGAGAATTCTAGGGAAACATGGTATTAGTTTCTGGAATAAATTTTAATCTCACACACATGCAAACCATTTCTGGAATGTATTATAATTTCTTATTATATACATTCTTTTCAATTTTAAGTTTGGTGAGAAGATATATTTATTTTAATTCCTACCCTTTATGGACTTAAAGAAAGCCATTAAATAAATCTGTTACATCTGTAGTCTAGGTCATTCTGGATTTAAATATTTTTTTTAAATACAAACACTGTAAGCCATTATAGTGATTTCTAACTGTTCTCACTGTGCATAACAATAATATTTTGTGTATAAACTTTGTGATTTCTCCACAGGATATGAATGACACTGCAGAGCAAAAAGAGATTTTACAGTCCACAACAGATGCAGCAGAGTGGTATCTGGAAGTGGAACGTGTGCTTCCACAGCTGAAAGTTACAGTCAGGACTGACAATAAGGTATGCAACAATGGATTTGTGCGTGTGGGCACAGTAATTAAAATATGATTCAGTCCATGTTGTTTATTTTCCATTTACAGTTTTTGTCTTTTGTCATGCCAACACTTGTGAATAATGGGCTCTCCAGTGCTATCTTGTCTGAGCCCTTATCACTTTCTTTGATCCTAGAAGCAATAATTTTCAGTAAGGTTTTTTTCAATATTACATTTCTGCTACTTACAGGGCACCTTATTTCTATATATTTATTTCCATATATTTTTTCAGTGGAAACTTCTTCAATCCTTTGACATTTCTAATGTATTCACACTTCTGAGAAATTATAGCCTTAGTTCACCAGCTATTCAGACATCATCTTGGGAGAGAGCTGATGAATTTTCTACTTTCATCTGTTCCATTTGTTGCGGAAAGGCTGATTGTATGGAATTCATCTTGCTGAACTTTACATGAAAATAGGGTCTGTACCTCTGATCTATCAAGGGCTCTCCTTATATTTAGCATAAAGAAGTTAGTACTTTTTCAACTGATTTTGCTTACCAGATCCAGATAACCATCTCAAAGTGAAATTCATAGTGTCTTAGAACTGTGAGTTTGTCTTCATAACCTGTTTCAAAGAGTCTAGAATGAGCAGCTTAGAAGCAGACATCTATCTTCGGCAAGTCCAAACTTAGGACCTATTTCTGGCATTGCCATAAGCATTTTTTCTAGGAGCTCGTGTAGCACACACAGACCAGTGCAGTGTGGAAATTGTTCATTTGTAGTGACACAGCTAGTTGGGGTGTTGGAGCAACCTGCAGCAGTGATATATCAGTACAATACATGAATATAATATATGCTAATACAATGAAGGATAATTATCTTGCCAAAAATAGGCGAAGCTCTCAGCTGTCTGCTGAACTGCTTGCCTGTCTTATACTACACTGCATTCTTCTGTGTGAAGAATTGTCTGGTTTGAGCCACTTCTCTGTGATCCTCTGCAAGCCCATCTGTTGCAGAGAACATGCTGCTTGATTCTCACAGTAAGGAATTAAAACTTAATGCAGACATACATGAAAAATTAAAGCCACTGTAGGATCTGAGGTTTACTAGCTTCCAGTTTAATGCACCATCTCTCAGCTTTAAGGAATGTGTCAAAATTAACATGAAAAGAGGATTCTTCTTTTTCTAGCTTCAATGCTTTCAGAAATAACTGGAGAGAAGTGTTTGGCCTTTTTCCATTCTACAAGAAAAGCATCATATTCTGTTTCCTAAGCTGTGAATGTAAATGTAGTACACAGAGAGTGTTAATGGTTTAATCAGTGGCGTTAGAAACTGGAACTTGTAAAGTCCTGGATGAGGTGGGGGTGTGAGTTTGTGTTTGCTGTTTTTATTTGAGCTCCATAGAACAATTATGAACAGATCAACAAAAGATCTCGAGTCTCCTGCATACTTAAAGCCCAACATAAGCACATTTTCTCTCCTAGCCTTTGGTTGCTTACAGAAGAGAACAGTGGGCAGCAACACAATTGCAGACAGTGGGTGAACCTGGTAGACTGAAGAGTTGTTGATGCAACAAAGGCATCAGCATTCACTGGTTACAATTCACATAGTTTTTTCATTAATTAGTACTCAAGTCCCTATTTGCTAGTTACATCTCTCGCTTCTTACGCTAATTAGTCCACAGATGGAATTCATCCCTGCCTTTGAGTCTGGGGTCGGTTTTGAGTAGGTCGTCAGTGGGTTGCAATCTCACACGGCCAGAATTACCTTTCCCCCAGTTGCTGCTCAGTCTTGCTGACTTCACTCCTGGTGGCTCTCATCCAGACAGCCCATTTGTCTTGGGATTGTCTTCACTCTTCCTTAAAACAAAAGATCAGCCAAGCCTACAAGGTTCACAGTGCAGTTGCGTAATCATAACTAGCTGTAAGTGCCAATTTACAACAAAAAGACTCTGCAAACTTTGCTTCAAATCCTGAAGGGCTACATATCACTTTGGTAGTTCTGTGCATGTCCTATGCAGGGGGATAGTGGAACTGCCTGGGATTGAGGCATAGCATGTGTTTAGGTGTCCATCTGGTTTAAGCCATGATTTGTTTTGCACCTGTACATTATAAGTGACTGTACCTTCCAGGAGCTCAAGGATCAGGAATTCCTCTTGCTCAGGTGCTGCAACCCAGCCCAGTGTGCCCGAGGATCCGTGGGTCCCCATCCCAGGCTAATCATGCCATTTTCATAAGGTCCTCAATCAGATAATTGTACTGGTACAAACATTTTCACACTCCCCAGGCCCTTATCAATTAGAGTAGCTGGCCAGGTTTGTTTCTTATTACATGATTTTTCATCAGTCAGTTTTGTGCCTCTCTCTGTTTTATTTAGCATCCTTTTCCACAGGTCCTTGATCAGATCAATCTGACTGAAGCTAACACTCACCTTCCGTGTATCTTTACAGTACTGATTTTACAAGAAAGTCTCCTAAGCTTTACTTTCAAGCCATAAAGATTTATTACCATCACTTTTTTCCACACCTAGACCAGCATAGTGCCAAAAGCTTAAAAATATTTAAAACATTTTTTACAATGTTCAAAAGCACAGTACTGAAATAGCAGTAATTCTACCATGTTGCTACTATGCTTCATTTTGAACCCATAGGTCTGTAACTGTGCTTTGGGTCTGGCAGAGGTAAAAAGTATGCATTGATGAGGAAATATTTGTGATAAAGCTTGGGAACTGGAGTTGATTTCTGAGTAAAAGATGCCTACCTAATAAAACAGCACTTTTTCTCATCCTCCACCCCTGAGTCCATGTGTTTCTGATGATCTAGAAGCTGGAAATAATTTGCTCCCTTCTAATTCTGTCCCATTATCAAAACCAAGTTTAGGTATTTCTGCCTCCTTCATTTGTTTTTATTACTCTGATAACAGTAAGGGCTAAAACAGAAAGGGAATAATTGATTGCCGGAACTGGTAGGTGTTGGACATCTGAAGCACTCATTTTGTCTAAGAATAACCTGAGCTAGAACAGCTACAATCAATATTTGCAGTATTTGTGCCCAGAGTGGTTTCTAGCAGAAATAGTTCCATGAAGATCAGGCTCTAAAAAGCATAGCTACCAGGGTATCAGTGGGGATGTCAGGAATGTTATGGATCCGAGTGTCACATGTGACATTTAGGAGATTTATAAATTGTGTCACATTGAGCAAGTGCCTCTGGCTATGAACATGGCAGTGGCAGGATGATACATGGCAATAGTTAAAAGAGGACTGACCCTGCTTTGCATATCAGCTTTGTTTAGTAACCAGAGAAAGATAAAAGTTGTACTTACCTATGTTTTACTTTGTTACATCTGTTTTAGGATTGGAGGATTCATGTGGACCAAATGCATCAGTATAAGGATAGATTTGACTCTTCTTTCAAAGAAACTAGGGTATGTTTTTTATGTGCAGAATATTTCACTGATCTGTCAGCAGTTTTATTTTCTCTTTTATTTGATATGCATTAAGAACTGGGCTGATCTTTTTCTCCGTTCCTTTTATTTATGCTGTTGCTTTAAAACTAAAAAGGGAAACATATGATAATGATGGTTAGGGACAGTGTGAGTGGCAAAATATCTTGTAGGAAAGAGTTGTACATGTGACGATTAACAGGGATATCAGGGTTCAGTGAATTTGCAGATGACACTAAGTTGGGTAGGAGTGGTGATCTGCCTGAGGGCAGGAAAGCTCTACAGAGAGACCTGGACCAACTTGATCAATAGGCTGAGGACAATGGCATGAGATTCAATAAGGCAAAGTGCTGGTCCTGCACTTGAGACACAACAACCCCATGCAGTGTTACAGACTGGGGTAGGAGTGGCTAGAGTGTTGTTCTTCAGAAAGGGACTTGGGAGTGCTGGTGGACAGTGGCTCACTATGAGCCACCAGTGTGCTGAGGTAGCCAAGAAGGCCAATGGCATCTTGGCCTTTATCAAGAATAGTGTGGCCAGCAGGACTAGGAAAGTGATCATCCCCCTGTACTCAGCGCTGGTGAGGCCACACCTTGAGTGCTGTGTTCAGGTTTGGGCTCCTTGCTTCAGGAAGGACATTGAGGCACTGGAGTGAGTCCAGCGAAGTGCAGTGAGGCTCATAAAAGGTCTAGAAAGCATTGTATGAGGAAGGGCTGAAGGAACGGGCTTTGTTTAGCCTTGAGAAGAGGTGACTCAGGGGTGACCTCATTGCTCTCTGCAGCTGCCTGGAAATGGGGCTGGAGAGAGGTGAGGGATGGTCTCTTCTGCCATGGCTGCAGTGAGAGGACTGGAGGGAATAAGCTGAGACAGGGGAAGTTCAGATTAGATGTTAGGAAAATTGTTTTTGCTGTTAGGTGTTCAGGCACTGGAATAGAATGCCCAGGGAGGTGGTGGAGTCACCATCCCCAGAAGAGGCGTCTGGGTCTGACGCTGGAGGGTGTGGCTTAGGGTTTAGGGGTTACAGCAGTGGCAGGTTAATGGTTGGACTCTGTGATCTTAGAGGTTTCCTCCAACCTTGATGATTCTATGATTCTATCATTAATGTATGCATTACCATAAGTACATCCTGACTGCAGAGGGCAAAATAGAATAATACAGTAATACAATCTGAAAATAAATGCTGATAACCCCCCTCAAAGTACTCTCAAATACTGTTGCTAGGGTAACTTACTGACATTGACATTTATAATTAATTGAGGAGGGAAGAGTGATGGAAGGAGTAAAGCTTGAAATACGTGTTTTGGAGGTGGGCAAACCAGAACACACTGGGAATAATTTTTTGTTGGCTAAACACAGCATTCTGTACTATTTTTCTCTCTCACTGTAGGCTTCCATATCCTTTCTTAACTACAGCACCATTTCAGTACTCTTTGTGTACTATCTGTATACTGTCAACCCACATAATATAATTTTCTAGGGTTACTTTGACAAACTCGATAATGAAATCAGCAGAACGTTGGAAAAGATCAATAGCAGGGAAAAGTACATCAACAATCAGTTGGAGCACTTGGTTCAAGAGTACCGTTCTGCACAAGCCTTGCTGAGTGAGGTAATGCACTGATCTTTTGTTGTTGCCTTCTCTAGTAATTGCTAGATAAAATTGCTAATTCTGCTTTCCCTGTGAAGTTCACACATCTGTCCAGAGTGGAAAAACTACAGTGTCAGTCCAACATTCATCTCTTTGATTGAGTGCTCGTGCTAAGCTGCACAGAGCACTCTCCTTCTTTGCTTCATTTAGTTTTCATGCCGTTAGCATGCTGTCTGAGAAGCTCTTTGATCCCCTAGTTAGGAGGTCTGTATAAGCCCTCCTGTTTGTGGCCATGATGACAATAAGGCTTGCAGGATTTGACCTCTGTGCTTTCTGTTTGCCTTGCTGTTAAACTTTGTAAGTATCTTCATGATAGTAATTTACTGCTGATGGAGAAATATTCTGTGTTTCAGGATTCAATTCTGCCTGTGTTCTGGCAAATTTTCTTTGTGTTTATTTCCTCATGTAAATGATTAGAAAACATACTTCTTATTGGGTGTGTATTTGGGCTATGACAATTTTGAAAACTGCCTTACACTTCTGAATGATAGTCAATACAGGAGCTGATGCTTCAAGCTTGTCCTCATATGTAAATGTCATTGGGATTTTTTGGGAGAGTTTCTGGAATTGGAACATGTGAGTGCAAGTTTTGATGTTTTCTCTGCACTATCTGCATACATCTCTTCAACTTCATCATTACAGCAAAAAACATGTTTCTTTCCAGACTAAAGAGAAGTACCAGGAGAGAAGTGGAAGAGTAACTGAAAAGATTAGAGTGCTTTCTGAGGTAAAAACCGTCTTATTTTAAAAGTTGGCATTTAGTGTTTGCAGTTAAATGAACCCAGTTCTCTCTGATTTCTTCTCATGTTAAAAACTAATGCTTGGTTAGCGGATGTGATCTAGTCCAGACTCTAAATTTTAAACTCAGGCTGCCTTTGATTTTTAATTTGTGAGTTTGGGCAACCTATTGTGAGCTCCTAATTTCCTGAGTTTGTATGTGAGTGTAAATGTTCTGTATTTTATAATCTGTGTCCTAGAATTCTTGAGGATTGATAAATCATAAGTTCTTTGAAAGAAGAAAACCTTGATGCTTATTGGTTAAAATTAACAATTTGAGATTTTCATCTTCCAGGCACTTAAAAGCACTATTAGACTAAATAGTAACTTTTTCCATACATTAACTTAATACCTAAACCTGTTTTTCTATTGTGAGGGTTTTTTTTCCTTTAAATCAGTGTTTTGACAAGACTTAGAGCTTCTTTCTATTTCACTCTCAAGTAAGTTTGAAAAAGGAAATATTTTACAATTACTTCAGATTTATAATGTGTTTGTGTTTTGGAAGCTGATTGACTGATTAGTAATGTTGAATATGTTCCTAGTTGGCATCCTTCAGACTATGCAGGTGCAGTGGTGTGTATCTGAGATATCTAGACACGTTGGATGTTAGTACTGATCTGCTTTCAAGCATGCAATCAAACCTCAGGTCACTGGGGGATACCATTACCACTGCAGGTGTGCAGTAACAGTGCAGTGCTAATTATTTCTTTGTATTGAAGAGGTTTATTGAAGCCTTAATGAAGGGCTGGTTTTGTATTATAGACAAAAATATGGAATGATTACCTCAGCTGTACTGTAGAATCATATATTTGCTTTTTCTTCTTTGACTACAAAGGCAAACTGGTTGATAGATAGGGCTAAAATGCACTTTTATTCTTCATACATTTTACATAGCTGTACCTGTGCCAGTGCCAACAGGCTTGACTGCTGTACCTTCTTGTGCTGAAGTGCTGTTTCTCAGGTTTCCACTGTAACATGCCAAAGTGCTGATGCTTCCAGAGGGGCAGTGGGCATGGTTATTTGATGAATCTTGGTCTGCACAGATATTGGTTCCTATCTTCATCCAGCACCACACTGAAACACTTCCATTGCCATTTTTATTGGTTTAGGATGCACAGATCCTCAGTAAGACCATTCTGTTTGGTCAACTTGTTACTCTTTTTGCATATTTTTTGTCAATGTTAATTTAGTTAAATTAAAATTTTCTGAATGTTTGAAAAAAAATTGTTCCTTGGTATACCTGTAAGACAGATTAGTTACTTCTTTTTAACTAATGCAGTTACTCAGCAGAGACTTTTTTTTAAACTTGACAGTCATCTGCCTTAATTAAGAAAAAAATATTTATTTTAAGATTACAGAAGAACTGGAGAAAGTAAAGCAGGAAATAGAAGAGAAAGCAAGCAGCATGACTGATAGTGGTAAGTGTGGTTTTGCTCCGAATCAAACACCCTTTTTCTTAGTGACAAGTGCATAATTTATCCTTTCATATTAAAGAAAAATAAAACAAGACCAGAATGAGTGTCTAGTCTAAAATACCAATATTAAAAATTTAAACTGTGTCTGAGAAAATCAGGGCCTAAATCTCTTTGAAAAAGTAATGTAAGTCTGCAGAAAGTACATTCCAGGGTTTCCCCATTTGGTAAATTACTGGGGAGGGATGGCTCACAGGAAGGTTTTTGTCTCTGCTTTGAACAGTTACCAACTCAGTGAAAGAAATTCACACCTTACAGGTTCAAGCCTTTTTACTCTGAAATCATCACTGGCAGTACTTGTTAGATTCCCTGACTAAGGCTGCCTGGAGTCATTGAAAAAATTCATTTTGGTGTTTTGATTTTTTTTACTTTTTTAATATTTTAAACTATATACCTATTTGGATTAGTTTGTCTCAGACTTGGGATTTGGTTGCTTGAGATTTTGGCTGGCAAATGCTTTCTGTTGCAAATGTATAAGGAGTATGAATGCAGAATAAATTGATGCATGTTACAGTAGCTGTATCCATATTTAATTGTCACCATCACAGCTAATTTACCTTAGGAGTCGTGTTTTAAGGAAATTTTGTGCACCCTGAAAGGAGCTACTCACCTGCCTTGCAACACCTTTTCTGTATGTTGGCATGGCCAAGGGTCAGGATAAAACCTAGAGTCTGAAGTTAAAAGGAGCAATGGGATGCAGCAGCATATAAGTGGGAAGTGAGGGATTAGAAACTAAGTGTGGAGCATAAAACATTTAATAGCTTTTCACGGGTGAGATGACCTCCTGATGAAGGTGTCTTCAGTTGTCTATCAAACCTCCAGTCAGGTATGAGCATGAGGCTTTCAGCTGAGCAAAACACATCATTGAAAAACTTGTCTTAATGTTGATGCACATCTTTATGCAGAACTTGGATGTCGAGAAGACAGCGAAATTGCCATCGCCTATTTCTGTCTTTAAAGTGTTTAGCATATTAAAAATGATGTATCAGTACAATCATGTCTTTAGTGTAGAACGCCCTTTTGTTCATTCAGCTCTTCAACTTTGAGGAGTGAATTACAGAAAACAATGCTTTTGTGTTAAGTAGCTCACAGAGTTGCACTGTTTTTCTTTTTTTTGAACAGCTCCTCTAGTGAAGATTAAACAGGACTTAACAAAATTGAAGCAAGAAACCATTCAGATGGACATGAAAATTGGTGTGATGCAACATATGTTACTCCAGATACAGCTGAAGGAGAAATCCAATATGACTAGAGATATGAATGCAACAATGATTCCAGAAGCACAGTAGGTGCCTACTAAAATTGTTTGGACCTGACTTAGTTTGGTCAAAAATAGTTTCTACGATTTGTGATTTTAGAGGCTTCTTTTTTTTGTTGGGGGAGGGCAATGATGTTTGTTCTTGTTTGTTTTTAACGAGATGGTTGTCATGCACTTTTTAAAGAAGTAACATGCACACTTTGGACTCAGCATAGAGCCAGGTTTAGTTTTGTGCTGTAAAACTTTACTGCAGATCTCTTCCAAATACACTTATTAATGAAGATGTCTCTACTTCATTGGAGAATGTTATGCAGTGTGAAAGTCTGTAGAATGATACTGACAGCCTGTAATCTTGATGCGCCACAGTGCTGAAAGTAAATTGCTTGCAAAGGAATAGAAAGGAATGTAAAACATCTATTATTGCCATTTACATAGATTTAGTATAAAGTCTTTAATTGCTGATACTGAAATAATACAGCATTACCCTTTCTAAAAGGCTGGGTCACAACTGATGTCAACTGCAACACTCTTCTAATAGGAGCAATTATATCAAAATCTATGTAAGACCAAATAAAGCAGAAAGTACTGTTTGGAAATTACTGATGGCTTTCTATTTTTTCCCCTGGGTTATCACTTTTTCAGAGTCACTTTATATTAGCATTGGGTCAGATGCTGCTTTCATTTATAGTATGTAGTAGAGCTGTGTGGGCATAATTTGGATTATTCTTGTTTTCAGTTCTTGTATTGGAACACCTAATTTTGATCTCTGTTAAGGAAAAATGTTGCCAAATCAAGATAAGTAATATGGAATGAGAAGAAAAATGTAGGAGGAAGGGGTTGGAAATGTAATGGCAACAGGAGCTTGCTTTGTCTTAGTAAATGTGTAGGTAGGAAACAATTCTAGATGTTACTGGTAATGAAGGAGCATGAACAAAGAAACAACCTTATTAAAGTACTAGTGCCTCCTTTTGGTTCTGGTTGTTCATAAGCTGTGGACAATATTGGTACAATTCCAATTAAAATCCTCCCCTAACTTCCGTAGGCAATTCATTTCACCTTACAGTTAATTTTTCTCACTTCAAGGTGACCAGTGTTTTGCAGAATCAGTGGAAGTGTGCTGTGTCTCAAAGTCAAGGTACTTGACACAGTCAGTACCATGAGCCTGTTTAAGTTTGTTGTGCCTCAGTATTTCATTTGGCAAAAACAAAAAGCCATAAACGCACTGGATTTTAGTAAGTGAAAAGCTGTATATGTAATTGTCAACTGTTACAATTTACCTGTGCAAGCAACTGCTGCAAATCTCTATGAATCACACTGGAAATCAGTTTCTAACTCCTTTTGTTGCCTACCTATATCCTCCCACATTCAGCTGAAATTAGAAAAGTTATTATTCATGTTCCCTTTGTTAGGTGGTGTTGCTATTGCATATTTACTTTTAACAGTGGGTTTACTTCACTTTAAGATGAAGTCCCTTCTGCATTGCCTGCAAAGCAGCTCAGTGGTGCTTTTGAATTGCAAATGTTGTGCTGTATAAATGCTGTTTATGTAAATACTTTCCAAAAAAACCTCCTCCTTCATGCTAATATAACAAACACAATTAATCAAACCCCTTCCCTTATTAGCTGAGCCTCTTATTCATTAGAAGTGAATCTGTTGAGACAAGCATGGCCAAAACCCCTCTAATGTGACAGAAAAATCACCGGAAGAAACGCTTACCTCCTTTATGCCAAAGTGATTCCAAAATAGCGTGCTAATTATCTGTAATGAATCTACATTATTTTTAATAGTACTGTCTTAAACTGCATTAATCAAAGTAGGACACTTCTGTTGTTTCAAGAGTGGTATGTGGCCCTTAATTGTCATCTGGCAGAGTGGCATTTGCCCCTTTGGACCGTAAAGCCACTTGACCATGCTGTGAAGCAGTCTTGCAGATCCGGCAAGCGGCCACGCCACCTTCCTTAAGAGCATGAGGGGAGCAGTGATGCCTGTCACAAGCAGCCTGAAAGGCCCTTCTGAGAAAGCAGTGATCTGTGTAATTTATTCCACTGCTGAATCAATGCAGCAAGCAGAAACCACATTAAAATTAAATCACTTGATTCACATTACTTCCTACATTGCTCATTATCTAACGCAACGTGAGAACTGAAGACCAACAAAACAAAGGTGTGCCTAGGTTAGTAGGATGCACATGAAGCTGTGCTATAAAAGAGTCTCTTCTGGAAAATATTCAGGGCAGAAGGACTATTCATAATAGTTAACTTTTATATACAGCTTTCCTTCCAAAGTCTCCTAACATTTCCAGACCCCTGAAACACCTTCTCATGGAGACACGATGTCATTGTCTCCTGTCATCTAGAAGCTAAAGAGAAGCTAGCTGGAGACAGATCCAGAAGTCGTGCAGAGGGACAAAGAAGGAGCTTCATTTGCAGAATCTGGTCAGAGAAGCCATGGGTTTTGTCCTTGCGATGAGGACTGCAATCATTCGGCCTCGTAAGTGGGCCCAGGAAGAGCTGACACTTGGCTCTGGGAAACTTGTTGTTGAGGAAGGCTCAGCAGTAGTCAGCTTACTCCTCTTGCATGTACTCCCCAAAGCTGTGGCAAAGGAACACTAGCAGCATATTACTTCTTAGGGTTTCTGCAGCTCTGAAATCCCTCTGAACATCATAATATGACTCAATGTCTTATTTCCCTGGGCCATATCTCTAGGCTAGGATGTAAGTCCCCTGCTGGGCACTGGAAACAACCTTAGTGCTTGGTCCCCTATTAGAGGTGCTGCTTACAGGCCATTTAGGATGTCTCACAGTGATGCTACATGCATTACCATCTTACTTTAATAAATATAATATCCCCATTCTCTTCTAATGTCAGCAGATAGCATGATTTGCTGAATATTATGCGCTGTGCTGGTAAAAAGTGCAAAGGGATGGATTTTTACCTCTTAATCCAATTCTCTCATAGAAAACCCTCTACAGAGTTGGTGACTTAATATTGAAATTGCAAGAGTTTAATAATGAGTTTCAAACATAGGCCGAGATTTCAGTATTTCAGTACTGAGACAAGTTAATCATTTAAACTTGCATTGATAAGTTCTGTGCCGGAACGTGAATGAGAAGATCATATGAATTTGAGAAACCACTACTATTATGAACAACTCTCAGATCTGGTCAGAATATTCTCACTCCTGTCTGCGGATGGCGTTAAAGTACTTCCCCTATTCCCCCACCCAAGAGAGGAACGTCAGGAAAATTTCTTTCTTGAAACAGAAAATAAATGTCCACCTACTATTAAACGTTGCCGATGTCTTTGGAGCACAGCTCTACTGTGCACTACAACATACAAAAAAATCACTGTATTGCTAATTGTAAGTTACAGTAAGAGCAATTAAGTCATCTCTGCATGACCTATAAAAAAGACTAGGCATAAATGAAGAGCCTGTATGTGAACATTTCCAGCTTCTGCGCTCTTTGAATTTTGCATCCAAATTTTGCAGCCTGGGCTTCTCTCCAAGTTTCACAAATGTTAATTAAAAAAAAAGGAGGAATTAGTGTGATGCTGTTCCTTGTCAGGCTGGCTCTGTGCCTGCTTGCTGAATGTCAATGCTGCAGTGTGCCTCCACAAGGCAGCTGCACGTGCATGCGCACATGCCGCGCGCACACTCCGGCCGCTCGTTTGGCTGAAACCAGCAGCAGACCTCGGCAGCATAACAACAGGCCTGGGAAAACTCTGTCCTAGTTCCTGCAGCGTCACTGCTTTCTCCTTTCTTGTTGATGAATTAACGTTTCAGGAAGTGGTTGGGTAATTTCTGACAAAGGCCTGAGATACAACAAGTTTATCGGTACCTGTGAGGTTAAGTAAACAGAGGATATGAGTAAAGGTATTTCTGCATGTATACTGCTCATAGGTGGGGAGTTTCCACAGAAAGGTTGGAGATAGCAAAGGTTATTTTCATCTGCCATTTCCTCCTTTTTGTATACTTACTTGTTACCAGGGCTTTCTCAGGTGTTAGCTAATACTTAGCTATTGCTCCAGGGCTTGGTGTTGCTGGAAATGTCTGTCTTTCAGCCTTCTAGTAACAGCCCTACCATTTTGCAATTATTCCCACGCAACGCTGGAATGAGCAGAGTTGAGAGCTTTTTATTAATAAGTAACAATTTGAATAATGCTAGTCTTTCACTCACTGCCTAGTTTTACTCTGTTCTTTTTCATTCCTGGTCTTAGTAATTAAGAGTGTAGCTCAATACTCCATTCCAGAAGTGGCTGAGACATGTTAGTCACTCACATGTCTTAGCTACCTGTTGTAAAAATCAACAAAGGTGAATATATTCAGGTCAGAAGGACAGAATAATTATTTCTAATTATATTCCTCTTGATGACTCACTAATTGCAATTGTTTCTGTGGCTTTCAAAGGATGACAGTACTTCAAATACCATCTTCGTGTTACTCAGGAGTAATGCAAAGAATTAAACTGTGGAGTGTATGTATCCCCTGGACCAAAATTTCCCATCCCTCTTCCAGTTTTAGGGTAGAAGTTTCTCACTGTGTCTTGGTGGGGCAGCTCTTGTAAGGTTTTAGAGAGTTCTCTATCCTTTTCTCAGCATTGCTGGTACCTGAGCATTTTACCTCCTTTCAAACAATCCATTTGGGAAAGAATACAAGCCACTAGTTATATGAAGGGAGAGAGGCTGCTAGTGAAATTTTCCCAGAAACTAGTGCCAAAAATGGCACAGAAGGTTTCAAGAAGTTTGACAGCATCTGTTGATCATTGTTTCCTTTGTTATAGGAAGCACACAAGTTCCTAGTATGATGGCAGGAAGGATTTCTGCCCAGTTTGACTAATGCTATCTAACAGCAGTAAAAAAATAAAAACTCTGATCTTAGGAGTATCACTCATTCATTTTCTACTAATCTGTCCAGCAGCAATTTCTTTACAGCCTGTTGTAGAGTGAATGTTATAAACTCAAGTAAAACATTCTTGAAGATTTTCATCCTCTTCAGCTATATCATATTGAAAATAAAGAATAAAAAATATTGTTCTGAGAAGACTGTTCATGGGGCAGAAAGGTATACTCTAGGTGTGGCAGGGGTGGAGGTTTTTTGCTATAAGTACTCTGACATTTCTGTCTGAATAAGAACATGTTTAAACTACATTTAGGCTTGTGAGAACTCTATTGGAAAAAGGAACTGCGGGTAACTGTGTTAGAGAAGATAAACAACTGAAAGTCAGTTCAGTGTTCTCTCAGTTGTGAACAGGATTGATACACAGGTGACAAATTCAA